CTAGCGACTGATCCAGTACATATGTCAGCTGTGCTTTTAAAAGCTAGCTCCAAACACTCCTCCCCACTGACCTAATGAAATACTGTAATTAAAACACACAAAATCAACACACTATGATTTCAGTTTCCTGCTTATGCTTCACACTCAAAAACGGCTGCATCCTGCAACCAGCCTAGCATCGGAACGGTATACCTGGTACCTACTCTAAGGACTTGTATTTCTGGGTGTTATGCAAGAGTCCTCACTACAGAAGCCTATAAACAAAAATATTGTCAGGCAAGGGGGAAACAAGGTGCGGTCACTGACGCTCTAGCAACTTCTCTGAAGTTCACAGGGAATATGCGCCTGCTTGGGGCAAAAAAAGGCACAGAGGTATGCAGCTGTGGGGCCAATACTGCTGGGGAGCGACCAGAACCAGCGATCCCTTTACATAATCTCCACTGGCTCCTTTTCAGTCTAAGAACATGGGATCTTCTCCCCACCCAGGGCAGAGCCGGCGGCACCAGCCACAGAGGCCCAGCGGCAGCCAAAGCCGGCAGGGAGGGCCAGGGAAGGGCAGGAACCTTTCCAAGGGACGGGATAAGGTCCCTTGGGCCCCAGCAGTTGCGCCTGACCATGGGCAGCTTTGCAAAGCGGGGTGTGAGCGGGCGGCTGCAGCAGCCTCTGCCGCTCTCTCGGAGTCTTTTCCAAAACACGTCCTGGAGCACAGTAGGTAACTACTGTAAGTGTCTTCTGAAGGATTACCAAAGTTTCCTGTACGAACGTGCTAACAGGCAGAGCGTACAGTACCCACTCATCAGCAGTTGCTTTGCAGCCCTTGAGATTGTCTAACAGCTACAGCAAAAAGTTGTCATGACTAAATCTAAGCAATTCCAATGTTAACATTCATTAACCAACTGTGTATTAAATATGCTGAATGAGACCACACACACACACTATTTTTTAACCAGTGAAACAACCATGCATATCCTAGACAAAGCTTATTCCATTCAGAGGCATCTGTAAACTGATGCGTATAGAGCAGTTGCTACTACTAATACAACAGGCCAAATTTTAAGAAATCCAATACTGTATCGCTGTATATATTCAGTTGATAATCTCTATCTTTGGCTCATGCATCCATCATTTACCTCCTTACTTTAAGTATGACTTAGGCAGATAAAGTCAGGGCGCTTTAAAATCAAGTGCTTTAAAGTCAACATAAGTATTACAGATTCTGTAATACAAATTTAAAAATGCATCGAGATTGCAGCATTGCAATCCAAGTATTACAACTAAAATGGGACCTCTTTCCTGAGGGAAGTTCAGCTAATTTTTAAAGAGCACAGAAGCTCCTGAAGTGCTTTACAAATACTAATTTACTAACCTCAGCTCTGCCATATGGTATCACCATTTAAGAGGTGGGACGGTAGAGGCACAGCAGTCAAATGACCAGCTTAATCATACAAAGGGACAGAAAGGGACTCAAGAAAATCTTCTGTTCCTTTCTAATCATCTGTTGGACTTGTTATTTCCACCAAATTTAGATTTTTTTTTTTTTTTTAATAAATGTAACATTTCCACCTAAGGAAATGATGTGGCTTCGGTATTTCCTTCCTGCCTAATACTTTTGTCTACTGTCTGAAATTCTACTGCTGAATTTCTGTTGCCAGACAAAGGTGCCAGGAGCGGCTCCCTCTTCCCGCGCCGCGGGGCCGAGCACGAGGAGCCGCGTCGGGGGAAGCGGCTGCAGGAAAATCCCGACGCTCCAGCCCCGAAGCCAGCGCTGCTCGTGGCGCGGGGAGCAGGCAGGGCCCGCTTGTGCAAACAGCCTGGATTTCTGTTCTGCACAGGCCTGAGGGTCTACCCTCACAGCTACAGAAAGAGCAGTGCTCAGACGGTAGAAGTAAATGGCCTCCTCTTTCCCCCCAAAGTGTGGACACTATGCAATTTCACTTGATTTTTCATTTAGCCACTGGTTTGAGTGCTTGCAAGGAGGTGGTTCAGTCATGTTTGTCTACCTGAAAATACCATGAAGCAATTAATATAAATAGTAACACTATTTTTCACAGACTAGTACAGGTGTAGGTTCATGATGGAGAATACTGTCAAATAAATAAGTCCATATAGTTAAAACAAACAAACACCCCAATTTTTAAATCACTAAAATATAAAAACATTAACAGTAACTGTTTAACACAGAACCGAAAGTGAAACATTGCCAAGTGAAGCACTGGTAGCCTTAGCCTACATTGCTTTGTGCTTTTTTTTTTTTTTTTTCCTATTAGTTTAGCTACCAGCAGAAAACTGAAGATACTAACTCACTCGTTACAAGAATTTTCCTCTCTGTTTACTTAGTCCTAACCATTCAGCTTTCTAATGGGGATTTCTGCTGTTGCCAACACTCCGGGGCAGCTGCCCGACTGACCGGGACCTCAGCCACTCCAACCTCTCCTCAAATACCCCCCAGAGTCAGTGCTCGTGTTTTTCCTTAATACGGTGACTCAAGAGTGGTTTTGCTCTTTATGGACTTTTGTTTCCTCCAGTAAAGCCCTGTTTTGGAGCACACAGCTGCTGGGGCTGGCAGTGAGCACGGCTGCAGGAGGGCAGAGGGGCTGCAGTCCCAGCTGTCCCGCGGGAGTGAGCAGCACTGCCCAGTGACACTTGCTGAATAAACTGTGGAACAAGTTCTTACCTCCTTGCTTAAAATGTAATCTCTTCCCGCAAATATGGGAGAACTGAAAAATCCCAAATAACGTGGAAAATTTGCAGTCTTCAGACAACAGACAATTCAACACTGGTCAGCGGAAACATTCCACTTTGAGCCCTGATTTTGCAACGTGTCAGACACCCGTTTCACAGCTCTAGTGAAAAACGGTGGAGGTTGCTCACCACCCCATCAGAGCCTTGCATATACGGGCTAGCCACATTTAAAAAGGAAATGAATAAAATAACGAAGAAAAACAAAGTAAGCATGGTACTTGCTAACACTACTATACAATCTACTCCCTTTCTGATGGCCACATCCTATGCCATGATTTTTTTTCCTCCCAGCTTCTTGGGGTTTGTGACAGGCTCTGTACTTCTGAAACTTCTTAAAGCGACATGGAAGTTTGGCAGTCCTACATATACTTCATGCGCATAAAGAAGTTAAAACCTGCTTTTTGCTTCTGCTACTGGTGCTGAAAATAACAGCTTCCCTCTATCCAATTCTTTAGGCGATTTAAAGAGTAGCTACTGCTTGCAGTGCTCTAGGATTATCCCAATTGCAATTCCTAGAATGAAGTGCAGTCACTGAAGCCTCTGGCTTCACCTCGTACAGCTCTAGGCCCTCTGACCCTTTTCTCATATTTCAGGATACAGGTGATTCCTCCAATCAAGGGCTGAACAGCAAGGACAGAGTAGTAGCAAAATGACCATTTTGATGCTTTTTCCAGACAACAATGTAGCAATAAAATGAGTCCTAGGGCAGGAAACAAAACATCCCACTGAAATATTCTTCACAGCTTGTTCCTACATTCAGTAGTCTGCAGAAAGGTTTCTTGTAGCTTGTACCACTCTGCTCAAACGCTGACTCTCCCCTCCCCACCCGGCTCCCACGATCAAGCAGCAGAGTCCTCAGAGACCTGCGCGTGCAGCTCTATTTGCAATCTTCCAATATGGCTCCTTAATAGAAATGCAAAGACCTGTGACACAGCAACGTTTAATAAGTCATTTGCTGCCAGATGAAACGTTGTCACTGAGTAATGCAGTTGTCCCCCATGTCCTGAGCGTAGCGGTCCGACATCATAGTCCTTAACTCATCGATGTCCTTGCGTAACTGACACACATCCAAGAGCTTCTTCGAAAGAGTTTCTGTGCTGTGGTAATTTTCATTCTCTTCAGCTGAACAGCTCAGGGCTGGGAAAAGCAAACCCCACGGTTAAAGCCTGCTCTTATCAACGGCCTATCTTTGCTTCTCTGAAAGACAGGCTTTTCTGTTTGCACCAACACCTGGGCTTTAGGATAAGCTCTGCATCTCTGGACTGGCTTGACAGCTGAGCAAGTCCAAAGGACGAGACGTGCATCAGCAGCACTGACAACGGATCTGCCTGGTAGTCAGGCCTATTTAACACACGCAGAGCCACCCCCAAGCACCCCCCACACACGTACACACTCCCCCACTTGGGCCCTGGGGCTTTAAAGCAGTAGCCTACTGCAGGCATCGCATCGGGCCGCCGTGCGAGCGCGTGGCTCTCAACAGGCTTGGCAGAACAGCCACCAGCCCCGAGGCGATGCCGTGGTCGTGGGAGAGACAGGCACCAGGGCGTGAGGAGACACAGCCCTGACCGGGGCCACAGGAGCAGCCTCGGAGCTGCAAGGGCCCGCGTGCCCCTACCCACCCAGGGCTGCTGCACGGCTGCCCCCAGGCGAGGGGCCTGCCCGGCTGGCACCTCACCCGGTCGCGCCGCTCCCCAGCTACTCTCCGTGTCTGCACCCCGCGAGTCACTGGCACGAGAGCATCACTTACATCGGATTCCCAGCAGCAAGGAAAGGTTGGGCTCCTTGCCCTGCGCCCTCTGGGTGAGAATGCTGCACAGCGCCTTCAGGTCGGGAAGGCCGCGTCAGCTCGCTACGTACGCGGCCGCAAAACCCTTCCCACCAGCAGCCAACCAACCAAACCACGGCCCACAGTAAATAAAACACATTTTATCATTCGTTAAAAACACAGCAATGGTGTTTCTCCAGACTCCAGAGCATGATAATTAAAGCCAATAAATTAACTTTCACCCAACTGTCTATTCAACAGGACAATTGTTTACTGGCTTTAACACTACAGTGCCACTTTTTGAGGTAGAAGTGGTACCCATCAAGCATCTAGCATGATGAAGCCTGTATTAAGCCCATAAAACCCTTCCACGAGCTATCATAATTACACTGCACCAATGCACTTTCCCTGCTGGCTTGGTGTTGGGTTTTGAAGGAGTTTTACTTACTTCAAAGAGAGTTTTATTTAACCGCTCTATATTCTTTTCTTTTTCTTCAAGTTCATCTGTCATCTTCTGAACTGCCAGCTTTTCTTGCAAAAGTTTCTCTTGCATAGACTAAATCATATGAAAACAGAGGTAATGATTTTAAATTTTCATGGTGTATATTAGCACTGACAAAAATGCAGCCTCCATAAATTCTTAAATTCTAGTTATTTATTTATTGTCTTCGCATTATTTCGTCATCTGTTATTTTCTGTCATGTTCCACTTGGTAAGTATTCAGCTGGAGCAACAGCTAACATAACTACATGCTAACATAACTACTCTAAATATCTCCACATCCTTTAAATGCACAGAATCAGTATATAAACAAAAACACTCGGGCAAAACTTTAAGATAAGGAAGAGCCGCACTCTAAAATAACCACCCATCAGCTCATTCCAGACCCACCTCAGGCAGCAGTCAACTGCCATCGGCTGCTGCCCGTTCCCCTCTTCAAGGCTTCCTGTTGCAACTCACTGAGCAACTTTACGCTGTGCACAGCCCAGCTATAATACATTTTAACACCAGCTACCTTAGGTTTTGAAGTACCAGACAGCTCACCTGAGGCATGTGCTTTGAGAGAATCACAGCGCCCATCAATTTGTGGCTCTGAATAACATATGGAACCGCTACACCTAAAGCCTCACATGCTTAACTTGTTCCAATGTGATTTAACTTGTATTTTACTTTTTAGTACGATAAGAATACTTCTATTTCTCACAGACGTGGAATTTATTAAATTGTATTCAGTGCTACAGCCTTAAAGCATTGAATTGCAATGGAGTTTGACTATTCCAGATGAAATGAATGAATTATATCTTATTCTTAAAGTGGCTTTCTAATTTTCACCCACAGAGTTGAAGCTCAGAAAGCATTACATATTTCCACTTGGATTTTTGGCACGAATTCAGCATGACCAAATTTTACCTTATGTCAAAAGCATGCAGATTTATTTTGCTACTTGGCTTTTGTAACTGTATATATATCTTTCAAGGTCATTTGACAAAATTCAGGAAAAGGAGCACTCAGCCTGCCTAATACGAGTACTAGTACCAATGAATACTGATTATACAAATTCCTGATGCCTTATACCACAGAGATATTTTCAACTTTCATGAAGAAATAACAAAAAACCCTCTTCCATTGTGCCACTCACTACTGTGGGTTACTGCCACAGAACATCAACTGTCCTCCACATCCCTAACTGAGCAGCACATTAATGTGTAAAACCTGTTACCCAATTTCAATTACAAGATGTAAATCCAATCTTATCTTGGCAAAATACAGCTAGAGCACTGGTGACAAAGCTGCACACTTCTAGCACAATTTTGCTTCTAACCCTCCATACAGTGGAACTGGAGACCGTGATGCAGGAGGTGGAGGTGAAGAAGCACTTCATAAACCAACGGAGTTCACTTTACAAAACAACCTTTTTTGGGGGGATGAATGTTTATCTTGAATCTCTGCAGGTAAAAACCTAAAGACTGATCTTCCAAAGCTGAAAATTTACAGGGATATTTATTGCAGGGTGGTTTAAATAAAATGCTACTGAGAGTTCGAGGCACTCCTTAGGATAAGATATGCTTAAGGTGCTGCATTCTCATTTTGCAACGTCATTTGAAGCAGGGTAGGTGGGTGTGCAGGGCAGGTGTGCACGGTGTGTGTATGTATATACACACAGAAAAAAATATATCAACTTCTACAGAAGCATCTCACCAGCTCTAAGAATTACTAGTGCTGAGAGGAAGGCAGAGAGTATTGAAAAGGAGGACAGGGTAAATACTGAGTGGAAGTATTAATGGCCTGGCCACACACTGGAGGTGTGAAGCCTTCACAGACAATTTCCTAACGCACCAGCGAAACACCACTAATGTGGAAAAAAAGTCATTATTTTTTCATACCCTTTGCAAAACTAGAAGACAAAGGTGTTAAAATTTAGGCACTTAATCTGGATAAAAAAAGATTTATTTCCATGTAAGCAGTAAAAATCACTGGGTCGAATTCAGAAATCACTACTTGTTTTTCAACAACTTTTGTGCACTTGACACGTGTCTCAGCTCACTCATACGAACCACCTAGAAAGGAAGTGTCAAGATAATCTGCATCCTAAAGATAAGCTGCTGCAGGGAACACAGCTCCCTGCTGAAGTGCGAGGGAGGGAAGGAAGAAAACGGGCTCTGGTCTATGTCAAAGGAAAGCTGCTGTGCCAGGAGAGGCCAGGAAACAGCGCTGCTTGATGCATTTCCTTTGTACTGCTGGCAGGTGAGTAAAATCTGCAGTGATGTTGAATAGTCTTTTAAAATTTTCTCATAAACAGTGTCTGCTGGAAAAAAAAAAAGGATCAGACTGAGGGTCCATCTAGCTCAGTATCATCTGCCTGTGACAATGGCCAAGAAGAAAATGTTTAGGGAGGGAGAGGGTACAGGTCCCCAAAATATCTGCCCAGCCTCTTAGTATCTTCAAATTTTAATAGTTCTTAATGTATTTCTCCTTCATGAAGGAGTCCAGCAATGTCCCGAGCCCCAGCTGATCACACATCCTCCTCCAGGGTGGGTAGGTGGTGAGGAAGGCAGGTTTATAACTATCGCTTCCCCTGTGTATTTTCAGAATTACATTTGTCACTAAATTCACATTGATTACTCCAAAAACATCCTCCAGGATATTCCAAACAATATGAACACACTCAGCCTAGGAGTAGCATCATTTAAAAGTAACTAGTGAAAGCGAAAATCAATATTTATTTCCAAAAGATTTATCTATCTGTGCTACCCTAAACTTTGAGCTCAGAAGCAACCCATATGTTTACCAGCTTGGTTGAACCCATAGCACTACGATGCCCACAGAGTTCTACAGCTCATCCTTACTTTCTCCCTTTGCTTTCTGAAGTTGCAACTTGGTGGCATTATTCCCAACCCTGGCACAATTCAGATTTATTGTGACTAATGGGATGGATGGACTTTGAGCAACATGGGCACTGTGCAATCCGACTCTCTTCTCCTATCTGTTTTGTATAAAAATATTATTTTTGCTGATATCTCACATCAACATGGATTTCATAAAAGCCACTTCCATTTATATGACATCGTTTCAAAACCAACTAGAATCTTAACACTTTGCAATAGGGAGAGCAAGGCAGCCAAGCAGAACCACCCACCATCCCGAGGAAGATCAGAATCACTCCATCCTGCCTCCAAGCAAACAGAAACCAGCTCAGCTCGGTACAGCGCTGCTTGAAGCACAGTTTATTTTCAGGATGCAAGCTGGAAATGATGACAGGAAACACATTCTCAAGCATCACTGCCTACTGTGGCCAAAGAGATGGAATAAAGCAAGACCGTGGCAGCTGCAGGTAAAGTTTATCTCCCTACCGATGAGGCCTATCACTGACCTGATTTTTAATGTTTGCCATGGAACACAGTGGGGAAGGAAATGAAGGATGCAAAGAAACTGTGATGGTTTACAACAAATTTCAGGGCTAATGCTATATTCAAAGCTGATTTTTTGACCTGAAACAAAGTATATCAAAATGTCTGAGGTAAGAAAAAGTTCTCAAAAGAAAAAAAAAAAAAAAAAAAAAGCACTACTCCATTCAAAGTCTATCACTGCTCCCCTACTTGGCACTTCCCAGTATCAGCCCCTAAAGCCATTCCAGACTCTAAGCACCAAAACAGCTCTCTTTATAAATGCACACAAAATTGGCTACTGTTTTAAAAACCTCACAATAAACGTGATGGAAAGCAAGAGATCACAAAGTTTAGCAAATAGAAAAAAAAATAGGATGGAGGAGATGTATGTAGGCAATCTGTTGTATATTTCAACAAAAAAATCTTAACTACAGAGAAGAGAATCTGAGAAAGTTTATGGTGCTCAATTGGCAATTTTCTTTCATTTGAATTACTAAAAACCTAGCAAGCAGGCCTGTGTCTCTGTTAGCAGGGTTCTGGCTGCAGAGAGCTCTGCCCTCCCACTGCAGAAGGAGCAGCCATCAGGACCACCGTTTTGCTGCTTGCCCAGCCCTACACAGCCAAGGTAGAAGCACTTCCTTCACCCCCAAGGTGCAACCTTGTCGTTTTGCTGTAGGGCACAAATCAAGAAATGTGGAGACAAATGCTAGCCTAGCTGCAGCGTGTGGAAATTAAAATTTATCATATCTGAACAACTGCTGAAAGTAAGGGGTCTACTGTTGTTAGCTTCTTTTTCAAATGCTCAGCTTTTGCTAGGGCAAGATAGACCTTCTGCTCTATAACCTGTATAATGTTTCCTTTTCTCCACAACAAACACTGGTCACCAAGCTCCTGTCAAGGATCAGGAGTCTGATGTGTTAATCCAATCCACAGGGCCAAACTGACTCCTAGTAACCCCTGCTGTCTTGAGAAATCCTTGGCTCCAAGCTAGGCACCCAAGAACCACCAGGAGAGTTAAGGTACCTAAACGAGTAACTGTGAAAAAGCAGCTGAAGAGGCTCCTCCCCAAACTGTGTGAGATGCGAAGTGGGGTGGTTCAGAGAAGCATCTGCTAGGGGCCCTCAGGAGTAAAACCTCTGACCAATGTCATTTGTGTGGACAAACGTGTAGACAAACATCCATTTTCTCTGAACGCGCATCTAAGCCCCAGTGTGTGATGGGAGACTCCACTGTTATTTAGGGAGGCAGTTGAGTCTCACACTTGAAACAGGCCCTCCCGATACGGCATTCCCTGTAGCAGCAGAGTAAGGATGCTGCCTAACACCACTTTTCCATTTTATTCTCAGCATCTGCAAAGTGCTGAACCACACCAATGTCAGTAATAAATACAAGCTGAAGCTGCAGGAAAATGAAAGTCAACTATAGGCCATAAGATAAAGTTCTTGGCATTTCTAGCTTTACCTCCTACTTGGGGAGATAAAAGGATGTAATTCAATTTTAATAATGCTATCTTTCCGGACAGAATCAGTTGTCAGAATAAGTGCCAAAATATATGCTTTTCCTTACCTGCAAGTCTAAAATCAGACCAGCTATCTGATTCTGTTGATTGTCTATGATCTGGAAAATAAAATTGAGTAAGTTAAAAGGCTTGAATTTGTTCAGCTTCCTTTTAAAATCAACTAATATATATGTAGCCATGGGTTTCAAATGGCCCATCTTTGAAAATGTAAATGAAAAAGATAAGACATAACTGGAAATTCATGGAAAATAAATGCACAGACCAGGGACAGGTTTTCAAAAGAAACGTGCATTGGCAACAAATGTGGAATTCCTTACCGAGACAGTTATTTTTAAAATAGAAAAGAAGAAATGTAGTTCTCAAGGTTAAAGATGCCACCAAAGGTCAACTTGCAGACTAACCTTACTGGCTTTCTCATTCTTTTCCTTGAGACACTCGTTCTCATTCTGCAGCTGCTTTGTGTCCAGCATGGGCAGGCGAATACCATCTTCCAGGCATTTCTCCACTTTCTGTTGCAAGCTGTTGGGCAGGACAGAAGGCAGTGAGGCTGTGGCAGGAGGCGCGCGGGCAGCGCAGCCTGTTGACAGACCAGCAGTCCCAGGCGGCGCTGTGAAAGGCCCGGAGCAAAACCCAGCCTCAGCACGGAGCAAACAGCAGCAGCCGAGCGATGCACGATCCTCCTGGTGCAGCTCCCAGAGGGGAGCTGCAGGGAGCGGGGGGGCCCCAGGCACCCTGCCCCAGCTGCTCCCAGGAGCTGCTCGGCTCCGACGAGGCCGCTCTCTACACGTGCACGAGAGCTCAGGGAGGCCCTGGAGGCACCAGGCAGGGAACAGAGGCCCTGTCCTCAGTCCTCCAAGGCCAGCAAGAAGCCCAGCACTGTGGGGCACCAAAGGCCCCTGTGCGACTCCAGCCCACGGGGCACATTGGGAGATGCAGGGGAAGAGCAGTTTGGGCCGCACAACACTTACTATGGGATGTTTCAGGGAGAAAACAAAGGTGGAAAAAGGGAATGAACAAGGTGGGCTTGGGAAGAACAAACACGGAACAACAGAGGAATATTTGGAAAAAAGATGTGAATTTGTATAAGCAGGGCTGGTCACTATGTTGGCCTGACCACCCCCTGCAGCTCATTAGTGCAATCTGGCCGACAAGGGAGCAGGGAGCCCCTTCTGCAGCTGCCCCCATAGGCAGCCACGACCTCCAGACCCTCTGCGGCTCCACTGAAGCTCCTAGGTGCAGCTAGAGCTTTTGCCCGCTCACCTTCTCGCAAAAAGAAAATAAAATTCATTAGTGCCAATCCTGTTGTCTGATTTAGAAACCAGAGGCCACTTGAAGTATTTGCAGGCTTCCAGAAAAGACAAAATGATCCCTCTAGATTATGGAGGCATGAAGAAAAAAGGCCTTTCACTTGTAAGATGGAAACAATGTTCCCAATGATTTGGCTGGTAAGGTGTCTCCGGCAGCCTTTCATCATGGAAACACTTTTAGACTGCCATGGCATGCACATTTACGCAGCTGAGGGACACGGAACTGTTGCAATAGCCCCATAAATTAAAGTGATTCCCTCCCCGCTCTATTTTTTTTTAATGAAGTCTTTACATAATTCCCTTCCTTTAACATATACTGTACTAATAATGTCTCTATATCTCACCTGGAATCTTTTCATGGATATCTGTTGCCCTCCTCCCCCTCCTTTTTTTTTTTTTTAGTAATTATTCAAGCTCAATGACAGCACACCAGCTGCAGTTACATCTCCCTGTAAACATCTCCCAGCCTCTGTGAAAAGGTAAGAATTTGTCTTTGACCCATAGTTTATGTTTGACCCTTCCCTGGTTTCCCCTTCAGCTGATATCCAGAGAGCTTTTCTACAGTTCATGACGGGATTAGTTACTAAACAGCAATGCTGACAACTTCTCTGCAGTGCTACTTCACTGCACATGTTTATTCCACCCTCTTCCTGGCCGTGGTCCATGATGCTGTCGCAGCGTATCCTTGAAAGAAAAAGACTTTGAGGGTCACAAACTTTTCTCTGTGGTACTACTTGCAAGTTGATACAAATGGCACTTTGCTGGATTTTCTATTGCATTACTCTGCCATTTTGCACAGTAACGTTATCTAATGCTATGAGAAATCATTAGCACTATAATAGATTAAGATTGAAAAAAAAAAATCGGGGTATTTCCATGAGCTGGGGAAGTACCTCCACCTCAATGCACAGTTCAAGCAGCTGTTCTTACCTCTGCACTGTTGTGACCAGCTCTTTTTCTTTCTTCTTCTGACAGACCAGCTGCAGTTCTCTCTCTCTGCACTGTGATCGGGCCTCTCCGAGCTTCTTTTCTAACTCGGTCAGCGTTTCTTGGAGTTGCTTGTTCTTCTCTTCTAGAATTTGCAGCTAACACAGATCATATTAGTCAGACATCATGTCACATTAATAGAAGGACAAGCCACAGCTTTGCAGTTGCCTTCTGCATAACGTTAGGCCCTTCATCTATCTGTGTATGTTTATCCCTGGTACACCTATACAGTGCTTTCTAAAACATTCAGATACTTCTCTTCCTCAACAGATGAGAAAGAAAATATATACATTGAAAGAGTAAAACACTTGGCAGCAGACACTGCACGGCTTACATTTATTTTTGAAAAGTAAACCCAACTCTTTCCACCTTACCTGCTTAGTCTGGCCTTCTATATCATCCAGCGTTGGCAGGTCCGCCAGGTATTTTTCTAAGGTTTCGATTCGCCTCTGTTTTTCTTTGTTTTGCTCAGACTCCTTCTGGCATTTCTTTTTTAAGCTATTAATATATCGGTCTCTAGTTTTAAGCTAAAAGAAAGGAAGAATATACATTTTATGATTGCAATAGAAAATAAACTTACTTTGCAATCAGAGGCTGGTCACTCTACAGCAACTGTGCTCACAGCTGCATGTAAAAGTTGGTTACTGCAGAAAATACAACCCAGGAATGATTCATTCTGCTTTATCTTGACAGCTCCAAATCACACATCTGCATTTGGTCAGGCTCAAAACACAGTTCTGTCACCTCTGCTGAGAGCAGCACGTGTGCCTTGGGAACCAAAAACATGCCTAAAATACATGTCATTTTTCAATAGTGTGGGTGTTCATATGCAATGAATGATCAGGAAATATTTTAGTCCAACCTCTTCCCCTGGCCTGAACAACAACATAAAGACACAGAGCCCCAAGAGCTTCACCCAACAGGAACTGCAGACAAAAACATGACCTTGCTTCCCTCTGAGAATCACATCAGAGGACAGGAGAATGGAATAGCTGCTTTCTTGAACCAGCTTTTCTACAAGCATCCTAACTGTGCATTAGCTTGCAGAGGAGATGTTTTATGTTGTGATCCTATGATAACTGATCACAAAACACATTTGCATCCTTAACAGTTCCTTGCTTTATTAAGTAGGACTAAGAAAGGTGAAAGGAGGCAAAAAAAGAAATATATTCCAATAACAATCTGATTTAATGGAAACCTGTATTTTAGTTTCTTCAAACAGCATGTAATAATTCACAGATAACAAACACTTGTCACTAGAGCAAATGCAAAAGGTATTTTTATTTTGGTTGCTGGAGACGTGCATCTCACTGGGAAACGAAAGCCTGACACTGTCAATGTCAGAGCGCAGTGATGGAGGCTGCAGAAATGCTTGAATTGGTAATACTTGAAAAGGTTTTTCAGAAACAGCCTTCCACACAGGCCAGAAAACTCCAGACTGCCAAAACACTGGAAATCTTTGTATCTTTGTATGTTGGTCCTCGAAACCAAACACAGTTTTCAGGCAGTTCTAAAATCTTTCTGATTAGGCAAAGTTCAACTAAACCCCTCATCCACAGAGGCAGTTACAGTTCAGCATCGATCTCCTACCACAGCACATCCTTCAGGAGCATTTGCTTCGCCCTCCTGACAAAAGTCTTAAGAAACCAACATAAACAGATGCACATGGACCACGTGCTGCAGCGGAAGAATTCCCGGGAGTCTCATCCTGATGCTCCTTGAAGCCCTTCCCTCTGTTTCCCGTGTACGGCTGAGCAGGGTGAGAGGGACTGTCCTCTCCCTTCTCACACCTACACTAAAAATGTTTGTTCGTTCGTTCATTCTTGCTCACTCTACTGAGAGGAAGGAAAGCTTTGGGTTTTGGTGTTTGGTGTTGTGTATGCCCCCACTGTGCATACACACCTCTGATGACCTTGTCAGGACAAGAATAAAATAGGAAAGTTCTCACCTCCTGGCAATTAAATATTAAAGGTAAGGCCACAGAAATCATGTGCGAGAACTCTGTGAGAGGCAACCAGTGACCCCTTACCAAAGTCCTTCATGATTATCCATGGCAGAGGGAGAAGGAAGAGCCAGAAGAGTGCAGGGGTCCGAGCTGACACAGCTCAGACAGAGAGGACTGGTCTGCAGCCTTGCTCTAGGCAAGCATCTTGTCTCCAGCAGTGCCCATGGACAGGTACTTACAGTGGTGGAAGAACAGGAGTCATTTTTCCAGACTCCTGGTGTTTTCAACCTGGGCACTGCCCTGAGACAGGCCTGATCTCTGCATACTTTGAATGAGAAGCACTTCCCTGAACTCGCTCACTCTTCCCCTACAGCCCCCTATATTCTTAGCATTCACAGGAGCCTTTGAAAAGACGTTTTACAGGTTTGTGACCTTCACAAGGAACTGGCATCAGCTGGAACTGGTTAAGTGTATGGCTCCTACAAGCTTCACGTGCTGCCCCTTGTTCCTGTTCATGGAGAGATGCAGGGGCAGCCTCCACCCTTCCCTGCCGCCTCCCCTCCTGCACATTCCACTCACGCTCTCCTTAAGTCGTTTCTTCTCCAGGCTTAATCACCCCTCCTGTGCTTTTCTCAAGGATATTTGTCTTGTTGCCCTTCTGTGAACCTTCTCCAGCTGTTTTTGACATGAGGGGGCTCTCCCCATTGAAAACTCATGGCCAGTAAAAGAGGAATATCTTTATGTTTTCTTTCCTCCCACCTGCACCGGAATAGCCAGAGCTTGCCCCTTATTGGCAAGAAGTGATTGTCTGTACACTATACTTAAGTGTTGTGTATTCAGAACTGCAGTACAGGAAACAACAACGTTGCTGGCAAAAGTGGGGCAGCCAGAGAATTAAAAATTTATATCAGCAACCTCCACCTCAACTTGCATGTGCTCTTTTCCGCAAGCTCTTGCGAGCAGAGCTCACCTGACTGCTGACTTGCTTCAACTTTCTAGCATTGCCCACCTCCTGGCCAAAGCTGGTTTGGGGCTGAAAAGCCTCATCCCCCTCAGCTGGGCAGGCAGGCACCTGGGAATCACCCTAGCGCAGCTACCAGCAAACCACCCTCCTGCCCAGGGCAGAAAGAGCAGCTTTTCTCCCCTGGCATCAGCCAGGGCCACTGCGCCCGTCTGGCTTTGGGCCCCTCTCCCTGTCAGCACAGACTCACAGAGGGGTTGAGGTTGGCAGGGACCTCTAGAGACCATCTAGTCCAACCCCCTTGCTCCAGCAGGATCACCTAGAGCACGTGGCACAGGGTGGCATCCAGGCGGGCTTTGGAGATCTCCAGAGAAGGAGACTCCTCAACCTCCCTAGGCAGCCTGTTCCAGGGCTCTGTCACCCTCACAGGAAAGAAGTTCTTCCTCACATGGAGATGGAGCTTCCTGTGTTTCAATATCCATTACCCCTTATCCTGTCACTGGCCGCCACCAGGAAGGTGATGAAGGAGATGGCAGCAGCAATGAGGTCTCCCTAGCCCTTAGGGAGCACTGCTCAGCTGCATGTTCTCACCTGCTAGACAGGACGGCTGTCAAGACACTCAAACCTACCCTGGGTTTTGCTTCGGCTCCTAACAAAGGCCCTTGCCAAGACAGCTCCAATACAGAGCCATTTAAGTAAGACCCTCCCCTTGTCCCTGACTAAATTCTACTTTGTACATCCTAGAAAAGCTACAAGATAATCTCACAAAATGGAGCAGCCACATTTGGGCTGTTAGACACAACTCAGAGCACAAGGCCTGCATCTGCCATGCTAAAAACACAGCTTCCATTTTCAGACCTTTCTTTTTTTTAAATGCTATGTTATTTCCTTTCACAAACATTTCTAAGTACACGATTTTTTAGACTTGGAATTCAGCAGCTTTTTTCTGAAAGCAAGTTTAACTGATAAACTGTCAGCATTAGGTCTGAAACATCATTTCTTCAGTATCACATTTGTGTGATACTGAAGGATGTATTCACTTCAACTCAGATTTATCTGCTGCAACACCTACTATCAGTATCTACTAATTTTTCTATCACAGATAAAATTCAGCTATCTTTCAAAAATATGTCAGCAACCCACATATAGCAAGTTGCTTCCTGGCAAACAAAATATCTGCTACTGTAACTGCATCAAAAAGAAATTTGAAACATGAAAGACACTTACTTTCTCTTCCATCTTCTTTTTCTCCTCACTAGATTTGTTTGAAATTTGCTTAAGAAATTCACTGAGTTGTAATTCCTTATTCTCAGCTGCTGCAATCTTCCGCTCAAGCTCTTCAAGATGTGACACTGACCTCTCCGAAAACTGAGGCTGCAATGATGCACTCTCATACTGTGGTGGCTTATGACAAAAAAGAATAAACAAATGAAATAAATACCACGAAAATGCTTTTACTGGAGTAAAACAGCAGAAAACTTTTTTTTTTTTTTTTTTCCACTGCTGCCAGGAAGGGTGGGGTTTGATTTTCAAACACTAAAACACGTGGCAACAGCATGATTTTCCAGAGCCTTCATTATCTGGAGAAAAAAAGCAGCTGGATGCCTCTGCATTAACAACACGTATGAGGGCACGTTGGGGCCAGGTCGCACTCAGACTTCATGGGGACAGGGAGCTGTCTTCCAAAGAGGTTAAAAAGGACGTGGCAGGGCAAGCAGGGCAGAACTGTTCCCCAAACAAATCACTGCCACTGCATTATCATCCCTTAAAAACAAAACCACTCTGCAAAATGGTTATGAATATATTAAAATACGAGACCCTTGGTCTCGCAGACCATTCTCAAGCAGGGTGTTGAAGCCTTGTGAAAGTTCAGACCTGCCACTGAGGTGGATGCAGAAGGGTGCAGGGAGTAGCCTGGTAAAGCTCCTTCCTTCTGTGCTTCTACCAAGACGCTCCTGCCTTTTAGGTCGTGAAACAAGATACTACTGTTCTGCTTCCACTGCCCAGAGAGAGACAAGCAAAAAACAGAAATCCACTGCAGGTGGCATGAGAAGAACCTGAGACAGAGCCTGCCAGGCTTTCAGGCTTTTGATATTCTTTTAATAAACATAAACTGGTATCGTAAAGAAATTATATGGACAGTCCTTTTTATTTAACAACATTTGTTGGAACGTGGATACAATACCCCTAAGTAGCACAATCTACTGATACAAACCATTAAGAGCGATTTTCATTTGGAAGTTAAGCTAAGTAGGCAAACCAATCAAGGAGAACTACTTAGACCCATTATAAACGTTTTAATTTTTTTTAATTATGAGTGATGAAAAGAACCTCCTGTTTTACTTAAGAGTGTATTATGGAATATTAAGGTATGCACACGAAAATTTCAACTTCTGCAACATTGTTTCAAAATCTCAATCTAGCCTGAATATAAGTATTGTATAAAAGAAATTCTGGAAGCAGCAAAAGCCAAAATTCATGCTCCCATAGGTCTGAGAAAATTCCTAAATACTTACCTTCATACTGAGGTACCACTTGAGTTTCTCTCCTGCCACACACACCAACCAGAGCCTGAACTAGGTCACAGCTCTGCCTTTCTGAGGCCAAATTAATGCTACGAAACCACAGAATGGCTGAGGGTGGAAGGAGCCCCTGGAGACCATCTAGTTCATCACTACACATAAGCATGTTAGTTGACATTTTGGTGCAGCACTTGTGACAAAATAAAAGGTAATAAAAGAGGGCCAGATGAGGCATTTCTTTGCACATCTCTCATGAATGCTCACTTTCTACACATCCTTTCATGTATGTGTAGGACATACAAGGGCGCTGACGTGGACCTTGTGTGCTGCAACAAGGCCAGAGCACCAACAGTCCTCGCACTGATCTGCACCTGGTGGCTACAGCCTATGCTATCTGCTATGTATCTGTGTATCTGCTGGTACTTGTGCTAGCCAGAGTGAAACTGGGACAGATATGCCCCAAATTCCACCTCTTTCCTTCAAGATCAAGATGCTTCCTAGGAGTACTCAACCATATCCTACTCAGGTGTCTTATGCAAAAGCACTCCACCAGTCTCTACCCGAGTTCTCACATCTCTTCTGCCCATTTTATGGATACTATGTCCCTAGCATTCTTTCGAGTAGTGACTCTTTCTCCTCTTCTGAGGATGTTTATCAAATGTTTTCCAATACTCCCTTCCTGAAATACTTCCTCTCAAAAGCTCCTTGCATACCCAGGCTATATGCACACTGCTACAATCCCTCACTCTTACCCCATTTTTATTCTGTTTCAAAGTTAATTTATGTTAATATTATGTACAGATTTGGTCTTCTGCAAATATAAAGTATTTACCTACAGGATAAACAATCTGCAGCACTTACAGGATACTCTTCGCTATGCAAGCTACAGTCATACAATTGCACCCCCACCAATAAACTCTAAAAGCTTTGTGTTTTGGCCTGCAGAAAATAGCAAATGCACTTTCAGATGCCAACTCCCGGGTACAGGAACACTTCTCTAACAGAAAACATCCCCCTTACCTGCAAGTTAGTCATGTAGGGCTCTTCACAGTTCACAAGATGGCTCAGTCTTGCGTGCTGAGCTCGTAATTCATTCTCCCTTATCTTCTGATGTAAACTGTTAATTTGCTGCTTTTGCCTGTAATATGCAGATTTGAAAAGAAAGGGAAGGGAACAAATTGAGATAACACAGGTCTTAAGATCTATACTTGGGAATGTTTTAACTATGCTGTTAGCCTATTTTCTCCCCCCCACACAGTCAGATGAAGCAGTAATAAATACTATATATATGAGAGAATATGAAGTAAATCGGGTAAAAATATGATTTGAAAACTTTTTTGGGGAGAGAGAGATTTTGTAAAACGAGCAAGCAGGAAAATGCTTGGGAGCACAAACGAAACACGCCATTTTTTGGACTTCTGCTCTGCACTGTTTCTCTTCATGAAAGCTGACTTTTGACTTACAAATCAAGGAGAGCAAAAAGAAGCTAAGACAAAAAGCGGCCCTGCATAAGAAAGACAACATGGCCTTCCCATAAGCTCTTCTTACTCCCCTTATGACCTTTTCAATCAACTGCTGTATGTAAGCGGTTTCCCACTGCTGGAGTTAAGTGCCACACTGCATGCTAAACCAATATTAAGCTCTTAAACCAAGTGCTTGGGCAGCTCACAGCAGAAGCATAATTCTGTCACTATTTAAATATCACAGCTGCATTTGAACTAGCACGCCCAGAGGGCAAACACAAGGCAGGTTGCAGGTCCAGACACAGCCACACTAGAGATATGGATGTGGAGGTTGGCTGTGCGAAGGGAAAAGGGCACATCAGCAACGGAGCAGTTCAGTTGAACAACTGAACAAGATGACTTGCCTCGGAACTGTGAGAAATCACTCACATACACAGCTACTTTCCCAATTAATTTAAAATTTAGTCCTTTAATTTCACTTCTTCGGTGTTTTTTTTTTTTTTTTACTTTCGTTTTTTATACTAGGAGATATTTGCGTGCAAGCATGAAATTGCTTCTCAAACCATCTCTAAACATGCAATACGATTCGCTTTTCTGGAAATAGTGATGCTGAACTGAAATTACTAAACCCCATAACCAAAGAGGTGGTAAACAGTAAACATAAGCTAACTTCAACAAAACACCTGCCTGCGCACAGAGCAGAAAGGCAAACCCTCTGAAGGTAAAGAGCAAGATCAGTATTTGTGTGGGGAGCTGTTCTTACAATGAGCACCTTCAAAATTTTATCATGAGACAAGCAACAAACATGAAGCAGAAGAAAAATGAAGAAGTAGAAGATTCCCCTAAAGATGAATTAGTTGAAGAGGTGCCAGCTGCAAATTTTAAGAGGGGAAAAAAACTATTTAAAGGGAGTATCTTTACATCAATAAAGAATTGAGACTAATGAGAGTCTAAACCAGAATGTAATTCTGTAGTATCTTAACCAAACTCGTGGTTGTTCTCGCTCCTCAGTAGGGGATTTATTGTACGATGGCTCTACAAACAACAAGCTACAACTTATCTTAGAAAAAGTGGATGTTGAGATGAGGATGAAGAACATGCTCTTTCCTTGTAATAGCTCGTATATAAGGAGCACAAGACCTTGTGCAATCGCATGAGAAAATGTAAGGTGTTGATGAGTTTTGTTGCATGCTTAGTCACAGGCTGCAAAGTCATTTAGTATGAAATGTCTATCATCAAAAGTCATGTTTCTTTTTTTATCATCTCCTTACTGGCTGGTAATATTTGTAATACCTGGTAATATTTAACAGATACAATACCCGTTAAAATAACTTTGCCACATTTGTTTTAAAGTTATTCGGCCATGTGTCACTCGTCCCTTGAGCAGACTACACAGCTCCCTCCTTGGGGCTGATCCCGTCTTTCCAGCGCCTTCGCAGCAGACATTGCAAGATGTTGGAGAGCCTGAACTAAACATTTTGAAACATTTCTGAACTTCCAGCAACGTTACCGTATTTCCTTCCATAATCCTTCCCCTACCCTACCAAATCCCCGCAGGAAAAAAGCGAAACAAATTAATCTGCGAGGAAGCAGAGCCCAGAGCATGGCTATTTCCTTCTCCCTGCTCTGCCAAGGGCAACACACTCCTCCTTGCATGGACTTCGCCAGCAAAACACACAGGACAAATATTTTAAGCCTCTGTAGATCCTGTATGGCTTCTGCACATAACCACCTCTCTCAAAATACGATTAACCTCACAGCAACCAGAAAAAAAGAAGAAAGAAAGAGAACGGACTAGCGGTTACAAGCAGGATAACAAAGAGGCACCATGGAAACACAGGTGCTCTTTACGCAGCCCGCTGTGAGGCTCTGGACAGCCCGTGCCCCGCGCGCTCTGTCCCCAGCGCTGCCCTGCGCTAAGGCAGGTCAGTGCTGTCCTGCGCTAAGGCAGGTCAGTGCTCTGCTCGCGCCGCGACTCCCGATCCGCAGGCCGGGGCCGCCCGTAGGAGCAGGGCGCAGAAGCCCGGGCGCCACCGCCACGTGGCCGCGGGCGGCCTCCTGCCGCCAGGCCACCGCCACGGCCCTTCCCGAGAGCCCTC